ACATGCAAATGGTAATTAGATAGTATTTTTCAAAAAAAATGTTATTGAAGACATTAAACACTGGAGATACTGCAGGAAGTAACTCCCTCCCAAAATAAATTGAGGAAAAGCTGTACAATTCATTCATCTATCAGGAACATGAATAGAGCACTCTGGCATAACAGACTCAGAGATAATCCTCACCCAAAGAAACTTTTTACCTTGCCTTTACACACTTATGAGATCCTTTTTATGTATACTTCTTATACAGAACACACTTACGAACTACTGTAAAAAGGCCTGGTGGGTTGTGCAAACATAAAGAGACTTGAATGAGGCAATAGCAACTCCGAGGTGGTCAGCACTATTCCTTGGGTATCACTTTCTGACTTAGGGATGAGGTTGGGCTGTGGGGGTGGTTCTTATTCCATTAGGTGTATTAGAATCACCTGGGGAGCCTCCTCCCCACCAATAAGGGAGCATATCAGAGTAGGGAAGAGGTCTGCTGAAAGACTGCTGGTTGTTAATATTCTGTCCTACGTTAAGAACCCACAAACTAAAGGTATAAAATGTCATTTTCAGTTCTAAAAAAAAAATGTATTCCTATTCCAACAATGTTAAAGAATAACATTATTTTTGGTAAGCCTATGCTTCAGAAATGCCATTTAAAATTTAGAGATAGGAATTTTTAGAGGAGATTTAGAGATAGAAAAAGTAGATTTAAGTGAACTACATACATGATTTGGGGTTAGGAATGTGTGGATATATGAAAATATTCACTCATTCAAGAAATACTAATTGGAGAAAAGGATATATTAGAACTAATAGAAAGGACATTTAATGCCTCAATCTGGAAACCTCTATGAAAGCAAAGGCATCCTACTGAGTGGGAGAAGATATTTACATAGCATATGCCCAAAAAGGGATTAATACCCAAGTACACAAGTCAGTCATAAATCTCAGCCAAAAAAAGTAAACATAATAAAAATACAGACAGAGAATCTGAATAGCCACTACATAAGACTCACAGATTTCCAACTGACAAATGGAAATATGTTCATTTCTTATTGCATGTGAAGTGCAAATCTAAAGAATATGATATCACCTCCCACCTGCGAGAATGCCTGTTTTTCAAAAGAAAAACAATTGTTAGAGAGGATGTGAAGAGATAAGAGACTTTCAACACTGTTGGTAGAAATGGCCATCATTGCAGCCATTGTGGAAAGGAGCATGAAGATTCCTCAAATAATTAAAATAAAAAATTATACATAATCTCATTATCCACCAATTACTCCACTTCTGGGTATTATCCTGAAAAATACAAAAATGCTAACTTGATGTATTCCTGCTTATGTTTACTGCAGCATAATGTATAACATGAGCTAGAAACTGCCTAAATGCTCATCTACAGATGAATGGATATAGAAGACATGCCTACATATCACATCCATATCCATATACCCTGGAATACTTATTCAGCTACAAAAGAGATGAAATCAGCCATTTGCAACATTATGGATCTCAGATATAAAATAAGGTACCAGTGATACTAACAGTGAAATTGGAGTGAAACAAACACTGTGATTTCCCTTATGTGTGATATGCAGAGAAAACAAACAGATGAACTAAAGAAAATAAATACACGCATTTGGCTGTCAGACCAATTAGTATTAACAAGAAGGGGGGAAGAGTGGGCAAAACAGGGCAAAGGGAGCACTGTACAATAAAGGACAGAATTGCACTTTTAAAGGTGAACATTTTGATATTCAATGACATATCTGAAACATATACATTTATAATGCAATGTTAGTTCAGTAAAAAATAATTACCATGGATATATTATAATTAAAAGATGTGTTATTATAATTAAAAGATTTGTTATACAGTCACCACAACTGAAAATTATTGCATACAGGCATATTGGTATCAATTCTATAGAACAAAAAGTAATGATGCCTCTGTAACCACTCATTCACACTGGAATCTCAGCCTGCTTCCAAATACGTCTCTTGCGTCAATTAGAAACTCATAGTCACCAAAGGAGCTGCAGCTGACCAAGCCAACTTTTCAAAGAGTAGAATGAAAAGGAGCTGGCCTTCATACAGCTTCAGTTGTTCTTGTCAGGATGGAAGGTGAGAATGATTGTGAAATAATGAGTCTAGTACAATGGCAATAAGAACACAGTAGATTCTCCTGAATTTTTAGTTCAAGCTGCTATTTTTTCCTTGACGATACTTCGTCAGAGAAGTATTGAGTGGAAAATATAATTAGAAAGAAAATCTGAATTGACTAATAATAAAAAAATTATACAGCAGGGACCTAAATGTATTATCTGTAGTTTTGCTTTAACATATCACAATAACAGTAAAAATAACACTGGATTCACTATGTTGTCCTTGTAAAATAAGTTTGGTTAATCATACTATATTTGATAAAGAGATGAGATTTCTGAAATGAATTCAGAACTTTTCTCCAGCTCTTCAGGTAATTAAAATATTTTAACTTTTCAGATTTACCCTCTAGAAAAATTACATTAACTCATCAGAGGCAATTTATTTAACATCTAAAGAAAGAGTGTTTTTATATTATTATAAAAAGTTAACTTGGGGACCTCGCTGGTGGCACAGCGGGTTAAAGCACTGCACTGAGAAGCTAAAGCCACTTCCGCATGAGTTCGATTCCCCCTTGCTCCGGAGGTGACCACATGGCCTGGCAGACCTCTCCTGACCTGCCTGCTGCTCCCCTCAGCAGTGTTCTTTGTAGATCTGCCTGTTCTGCTCCCTGCTCTGCCTCTGGTGGATCCTATCACCCTCCACATCTTTGGCCTGTATCCCAGTTCTGTATG